TGTTTGTTCTACAACACTACCATTTATTATTAAAGATTTAAAAAAAGAAACATATAATTGCATAATTTTTTTAAAGAAAATTTTTACTATTTTTTCAAAAACTAAAATAAAAAAACAAAAAAAAAATGTAAAATAAAATTGTTTTATTTTATTAAAAAATATTCAACATAAACTTGACAAATTTGAATTTTATACCCTTTTTATAACATTAGATAGATAGATAGATAGATAGATAGATAGATAGATAGATAGATAGATATAGATAGATAGATAGAATAGATAGATAGATAGATAGATAGATAGATGATGATAGATAGATAGATAGATAATAGATAGATAGATAGATAGATAGATAGATAGATGATATAGATAGCTAGGTCGCTCTCTCGCTCCTGCTCGCTCCTCGCTCGCTCGCTCGCTCGCTGCTCGCTCGGTCGCTCGTCGCTCGCTCCCTCGCTCCCTCGCTCCCTCGCGCTCGCTCGCTGCTCGCTCGCTCGCTCGCTCGCTCGCTTGCCTCGCTCGCTCGCTCGCTCGCTCGCTCGCTCGCTCGCTCGCTCTCGCTCGCTCGCTCGCTCCTCTGTCGCTGGCTCGCTCGCTCGCTCGCTCGCTGCTCGCTCGCTCGCTCGCTCGCTCGCTCGCTCGCTCTCTGCTCGCTCGGTCGCTCGCTCGCTCGCTCGCTCGCTCGCTCGCTCGCTCGCTCGCTCGCTCGCTCGCTCGCTCGCTCGCTCGCTCGCTCGCTCGCTCGCTCGCTCGCTCGCTCGCTCTCTCGCTGGCTCGCTCGCTCGCTCGCTCGCTCGCTCGCTCGCTCGCTCGCTCGCTCGCTCGCTCGCTCGCTCGCTGGCTCGCTCGCTCGCTCGCTCCCTCGCTCGCTCGCTCGCTCTCGCTCGCTCGCTCGCTCCTGCGCTCGCTCGCTCGCTCGCTCGCTCGCTCGCTCGCTCGCTCGCTCGCTCGCTCCTCGCTCCTCGCTCCTCCCTCGCTCGCTCTTGCCTTGCCTCCCGTCCCGGCCTTCCGCCTTCGCTCCTCTGCCCTCTCTTTTCCTCTTCCAGCCCTGTTGCCCATAATGATACAATTGGACAGGTTCATTCTAATTAGGTCTCGAAACTTGTGTTGCAAGGCTGCTACATTATTGCCCTTGTATCCAACAAGGTCTTATTGTAAACAGACTTAGGTATAGACTAGGCAATAGACTAGTTAATAGTCCAATTTTTTTATAAAGTAGAGAATTGTCCATAAATTATCCTACTCCATAAACTAGGTAATAGACTAGTTCAGAAACTAGACTAGTCCATAAATTAGATTAGTCAATAGACCATAAACAAGTACATAGACTAATTATTAGATTGGAAAAAGACTAGCCCTTACACTAGCAAACAAACTAGTCAATAGACTAGTTTCTACACTAGTCAACCGACTATGGACCAGTCTGCAACCTATGTCGAGGGACTTTTTTAGTACAATAGTTACGAATTTTCCATACCTATTCCAAATATACTCTAATTTTTAACAAATATTGTTGCAATCAACTAAAAAAACATTGTAACTCTATAAATAATTCTGCTGGTCAGCCCAATCTAAATATTATATTATTTATAATCGATAAATAGCATGCAAGTGTCAGCACTAACAAAAGCTATAGTGACAAATCCCTAGTTTATTGTTGCAAATGAAAATTCTCAATTTAAATTAATATATTCTTATTAAGAATTTGTAATTGAAAAAGGTATAGATAGTATCTACAGAAAGTAAAAAAGATCTACAGGATCCAAATCTAGAATTCAACCTATCATAACTAACGGTATATTCTGTAAAAAGAAAGATTTCGGTGACCCATTCGAAATAGGTGTTCTTTATATTTCCAGTTTTTATACTAAATTCCGATTTTCTTCCAAAATCCCACATTTTCACTAATATTCCGCTTTTATTCAATAACGTTAAAAAATGAAAAAACGCAGTTAAAAGCTTCGCCGGCTTACAGTCGAGTTAAATCACCGCCGAAGCTTTAATGTCAGCCACCGCGACTCCAATATTTGTCGACGCCGGTATCTGCAGTGAGGTTGGTTTGTGAAATAAAAAAGAAAGAAAAGAAATTATTGTTATATCTACACAAATTTGATTATAGAAATAAAAGAAAAGAAGAAATAAGAAAAGAAACAATTGCCTAATAATATTAATTACAAATTCGCAGAAGAAAAATATATATATTTTTTTACCAACAATCACGAAAACAATAAACTTTTGATACCAAATGGAGGACCGTAAGTCTATTATTTTTTAACTATGGAAAAATATTATAAAGTAATGATTTTCCCTTGTGAATTGTTTTTTATTTAATTAATTTACTAAATATTAATAATTTTAGTAATATTATATGCAAAAATAATGTAAGATTTTGTGTAAAATGTGAGTCACATTTGTTGTACATACACAATATTGGCAAATGATTTTAGATTTGATTGGTTTGTGTGACGTGCAGTGTGGTCTTCGGCTACTAGAGTGTGTAAGGGCATTTGTATACTTGCGTGCCTGCTTTTTTTTAATCTTTGTATACTTCTTGTATTGTGATATTTAAAGTTTTCATTATCACAATTAGAACATTATGTACAATGAAATTTAATACTCACTTAAAACATTAACAAATTAATGTTTGAACGTGGCAGTTTTTTTTAGTTGCATCCAGCTTTTTACATATTTTCCTTTTTTTGCTTGAAATGAATTATTAATATTGTTATTGCTGTGATGGTGGTAGTCAGTCATAGTGGCGTCAATTTTTCTTAGGGAAGAATACCCCTTATATTTAGTCATAGATAATTAAATGTTGTTTTCATTCTTATTAGAATTTGTACAAACTATTGATTAGAAATGAATTGGTGGCATCAATGTGATAAAGAATCTGTACGTTTGTCACTTACAACCGCATGTTCATAGTTTGTCCAGTTAAATGTTCTCCAATTGTGTTTTCATTGAGATTTTGCATAACACAAGCATTTAATTGAACAAAATTCTGCATTTAATGGGCCGCAATTGTACCAATAAATGATTTCACATATGTTTGTAAATATGTATATTTATTAAGTACGTTGGTAGTTTGTTAAGTTTTTGCTTAGATAAATGGGGCGTATATTTTGAGAACATGGAATATTAAAATCCAAAAAAATACTTTCTGGGATTAAAATTGCTAAATTACGTTTAGATTTGTTTAGCTATTATCTAGTCTATCGACTGATCTAATAAGGAGTCTATTGACAAGTCTATGAACTAGTTTATTGATCTGTCTAACAACTAGTATTTTGACTATTCTGTAGTATTATTTTGACTAGTTTGTGGACTAGTTATAACTAATCAATAAACTATTCTTTGGCCAGTTTGTGAAACAAATTTTTTATGAAAATTTAATTAATTTAATATCTATGTATGTATATTTTACTTTCATTCTTACTTTACAAACATTTGTTTAAACACTCAAAATTTGTTTACTTTCATAACGATGGTAACATTTTTATATATATTTTCTCCATATGAGGTAATGATTAAATATGATTCATCCTTTTTAAGACCATTTTTTTTAAATCATTAACTCTTAAGATTTTTGTTGGAAGAAGGAAATTTCTTTTAAATTATTCGTTTATACAAAATAAAAAAATGTATTTAAAGAAATTTGAACTCAAACAATTGACAACGCTTGTTTAGATTTCTATAAAACAAATGCTCTTTTCAAATGTTTAACAGATTTTTATGGAAATTCCATTAACTTTTATAGATTAGTGCATAAACTAATCAATGGACTATAGATTAGACAAAAGACAAGTTAATATAACAGTCCATAGACTTGTCCATATATTCAATAGTATAAAAGTTTATAGTATAGTTAATGGTTCAATGTCCTGATATCCACTATATCCTGCAATACGAAGAGGTGCATCGACAACTATCTGAGTAGCCGTCAGTCGTTCGTTTAGTTTAGAGGCAAACGCTTAAAACTACGTAGAGTTAAATAAGGAGTTGCACAGGGCGGTTTCCTATCTACACTATAGTTAACTTCTACTTCTTAAAGCTTCCGATACCTCTACAAAGACTTGAAGTCGTCACCAATAAGGCGCCATGACATAACGTTGATATCCTATACGATGGTTACTTGAAGAATTAAACAATTTATTCACTTCATCTATCACCAACGAAGTCCTCGGCAAAACTTTTCACAACCTGGACAAAGAAAGTAAATTGCGAAGTCGAAACAAGCATTTTAAAGTGCTAGACGGCAGCACTTGTGGTATGGAGAAAGAAACCATGTTAGTTAAATGATTAACTGGTCGGTGGTTAATTATGCTCCTTCAGTGTAGCCTGTTTCGCTCAGTAAGACCGTTATAACAGCTTAAAGACTACTTTGGTTAATAAAATTTGCTACATCTTCTAAAAGTCGAATCTGTCAACTTTAAAATAAAAGTTTAACCATCGTTATACCTTTTTCCTTCTTCCAGATATCTTAACTTAAACATAAAATCGACATTTTCTTTATATTAGCGGCAAAACTTCAATAACAAATATTAATCCTTTATTCTAAAGTCAACAGATTGTACTTTCAAAGAATATAACTTATTTTACAATGTTTAAAACATTTGAAATACAACCAAAAACAAGGATGTGATGGAAAACTTCTGAGTTCAGATTCAATTTTAGTGCAGTGTTTGCATTATTACATAGTTGTAAGGGTTATACACATTAGAGTTTCCAAGAAATCTAAAGAGAATTACGAATTTTAAACTTATTTCCAGTACTGAGTTTTGTGATTACATACATTCGTAACAATCTCCAAATTTCAATAATTTCATTCCAAATGATATTGGAATTATTTGCTTATTTCGTTTTTTTTAGAATCCACCTTGTGTTGTTAAGTACTACCTACTTATTTTGCATATCTACCTTTTTAAACAACCTGCAATAAAATCAACATCATAGCAGCATAAGGATCATCAGTCTTAACTTTTTTCTTATAAATTTAGTTA